GGGGCCTGATACTGTGTGACATTCTCACCTGACCAGATGGCACCCTGTCCTGCATCCAGAGGTAAGCAGCTCAGTGGTTTGTGATTATGCTTCATTCACCTGAGCAAATGTTTCTTTGCCAAGCTCTAATTTTCTAAAACTGCAGTGAATTTTTGCTGTCAAAGTGGAGACAGAGGTGGGAGCGAGAAAACGTGTGTGCGTGTGCACATGTGCTAGGGCACAGCACATCACAGGGACCGAGTCAGTCAGTCTGAGAGTCGACAGTCAGGCTCAAACACTGACGTTGTGGCTTTTCGTGTGACTCGATACTCAACTGCTCTGTGACACAAATTCCCCATTTATAAAACAAGCGTGCTAATTCTACCTACCTCAGGGTTTTGGTTAAGAATACGGGAGATGGTATAAGGAAAGATGAGACCGGCAGGTGGTGTGGTAGTGAAGGCACTGGACTCTCACATGGCCACCAGCAGTTCAAGTCCGGACCCAGCAGTTTGAAGCTGTGCCAGGAGTGTGTGTGTGTGTGTGTGTGTGTGTGTGTGTGTACGCGTGCGTACCCAGGACCTCGAGAGGAGAATGGAGGAGAAAGGATTGTGGTCTGGCCATCCCCCTCCCGGAGGGGTGGGGTGACTCCTTGCTTTCTAATCCTCTGTTTCTCTCTGTCTCTTCAAGCGCACATGCCCTATAGCAAAAATCTCTCTCAAAAAAAAAAAAAAAATGTATGGGAAGAATCTCGTATGTTCCTTGTGCTACACATCAAATACTCAATACATATTAGTAAAAATTAATGGCAATGACTGTCCTGAATGAACATTTTATATGCCAGAACTTGCCTTGTTTTTATATCATCTATTAAAAAAGATGCCATGACATAGAATCTGAAAAATCTATAAAGAAATCCAGTATTTTCAAAGGAGCTGACGACAAGGTTGAGATCATCCTGTCATTCTCCTTACTTATTCCCCACCCAATAGAATGTCTCCCTGGGCAGAGATTAAGTTATTTGCAAAGATTCAGACACATTTTAATATTTGATTTACTTCCACTGTAGTCCCAGCTGCAGTTTGTTTGCCTTGATTTGTGACCTTGCAAATTAAGAAGCAGATTTACAAACTGAGCTCATGGAATTGGAGGAGAGATAGGAAAGAACAGAATTACATTTAAGGACCACCTGCTGTTCTGGGCGGGGTGGGGAAACCTAACCTCCCTTAACCTGAGTCATAGCAATACCAAGAAAAAAGACGGTAACAAACATTTCACACAATGACAGGGTCAGAGCAGAAAATGATTGGGCCAGATGATACGAATGGCAAAACCAAGATTCGAATCCATGCTTGGGTAGCTTTAAAATTACAGTCCTTTCTCTCTATGTGTTAGTGTATATTTCTTGGTGCATAATTGAAGCTAAAGGTTTCCTTGCTATTTCTCAGAGGTACCCATTAGTGGGCATTTTCCTAACCCTTTCCCTTCAGTTATCAAATCAAAGCCCTTTACCTAAATGATGAGCATTTCCTGGGATAAATTGTACTTTCTCATAAAGCCAGATGGTCTGCTATGAAGAGGGTAATTGACCTCAGTCATCGCAGTTACTGTTGAAAACATTACTCTCTCCCCAGGGCCCCCATCTAGGACACCACCTCTAAAAGTTTTGTGATGGCCTTTCTTTGTCCCTCCTTGTGCACTTAGCCTCTCTGTTCTCACTTAGTATATTCTTCCCAGAGGTCTGTAATTATTGTGCAAGATATGGATGTGGGTGTGGATGTGGGTGTGTTAGGGTTTGTATGCAAAACACTTTGGAAAACACTTCAGCAAACTGTACAGAGCTTTCCACTATGGAAAACATCACGGCAAAGTTATGGTTTCAATGTGTCTTTGTTGTGGGATATTTAGCAAGGCAGAGACAGGATTCTGTGGCTTTTTGTAAGAAAGCAGTGATTTATTAGTGCCAATACCAGCTCAGCAGGATTCACAGTTAAAGTTTGAGTGCTGAATTTCCAGGGGCCCTTTCTTTTATTTATTTCAGTCTCTTTGTCCCCTTTGTATGGTTATACACATTTTTACATACTTTTGATTGGGTAACTTATGCAGGTATGCACTGGGCTGCCAGGCTGTTAGCTATGCAGGCAGGCAAACATGAAGTTACAGAGTAACTTCAGATCTAAGTTGCTATGGAGACAGAGCTACAAGGTCACTCCAGGTTGCACATGTTCACTTACATTTCAAGTATGCCCTGCTTTGTTCTGGACGGCCCACACTATGTCTTCTAAGGATCCCCACCACATCTTCTAAAATTCAGGTTGGAAAAGCAACCCCCAGGAAATAGTATTAAAAAGTGGAGCGTCTGGGACCAGCAGATGGCGTAATGGTTACGTTGCGGGACTCCCATGTTGTTAATTGTGGTTCGAGTCCTGTACCCAGTGGCTTAAAACTCATGCTGGGTGTGTGTGCGTGTGTGCCCAAAATCCCAAGAGGAGAATGGAGGAGAAGGGACTGTGGTATGACCACAGAGGGGGTGATTTCTCACTTTCCATCTCTGTCCCTCTCTGTCTCTTCTATGTTTGTGCCCTATAGCAAAAATCTCTCTTTCAAAAAAAGTGGAGCTTTTAAGAGGTGATTTGGTGATGAGGGCTCTGGCCTCATGGATTAATGCCATTATCGTGGAAGTAGGTTCATTATTGATATCTGATAAAAAGGGAGACTTCAATCTCTTTCCTTTCTGAAGTAAGCATTCTCATTTTTTCTGCCTCTGCCATGGGATGTTGCAGCTAGGGGCCCTCACTAGATGCTGGCCCCACCACAATCTTGGACTTCCCAATCTCCAGAACTGTGAGAAGTAAGTGTTTCTTTTCTTTATAAATTACCCAGTCTGTGGTATTCTGTTGCAGCAACACAAAATGGACTAAGACAAGCGACTGCTTACAAAATTAAACAGATACTCACCAATGACCTAACAATTCCATTTCTAAGTATGGCCCCAGGGAAAATGAAAGTATGTCTACAAAGACTTGCACAAATGTGCAGAGCAGGTTTTTCTGTAACAAAGTGGAAACAACTTATCAATAGGATAAATTAGATAACAAATCACAGTGTTTTCATATAATAAAATACTGTTTGACATTAAAAAGGAACAAATTAGGGGCCAGCAGATGGCACAGTGGTTATGTCGCTGGATTCACACATGGCCAACTGTGGTTCAAGTCCTGGACCTGGTGGCTGGAAAATCATATCAGGTGCATGTGCATGTGTGCCCAAGATCCACACAACAATATGGACACATCTCAAAAACATGCTGTGCAAAGGAAACTAGGTACATAAAAGTCTATACTGTATGATTCTATTTATAGGAAATTCTGTGACAAGGAACATCAAATCTTGGAGATAGAAATCAAATTAATCTGGTGTACAAGAGGAGAGTTTACTGTACGAGGGCAAGAGGGAACTCTCTGGAGGAATGAAAATGTTTTATCTACTTATTGGGGTAATGTTTAGATGGTGTATGTATTTCTCAAAACTCATGAAACTCGGGAACTAGCAGTTAGCGTAATGGCTATGTCGCTGGACTCCCATGTAGTCGACCGCGGTTCGTGTCCCGGACCCGGTGGCTTAAAACTCACGCCGGGCGCGTGTGTGTGCGTGCCCAAGATCCCGAGAGGAGAATGGAGGAGAAGGGATTGCAGTGTGACCATCCCCCCTGGGGGGTGATTTCTCGCTTTCTGTCTCTATGTCTCTCTCTGTCTGTCTGGCGAGCGCACGCGCCCTACAGTGAAAATCTCTCCAAAAAAAAAAAAAAAACCTCATGAAACTGAATACTTTTAAAAATTTATTTATCTATTTATTTATTTGATTCCATTTGTTATTATTATTTTTTTAACTTGACCAGAGAGAGAGAGAGAGAAAAAGGGAATGAGAGAAAGCAAGCTACCGGGTCCAGGACTCAAACCACAGTCAGCCTTGTGGGAATCCAGCACCTTTAATCACCACCACACCATCTGCCTGCCCCATGAAACTGAATACTTAAAATGTTCCCATTTATTATATGTAAATATACCTCAACGAAGATCATTAAAAATCATAAAACAAGATCAAAGGTTTCAGTTGTGCAGTTGGTGGACTTTGGCAAGAGAGAACCGTCTGCGTTATTTTGTAAAGGCTAGCACAGCTAAATATAGCTTTTTTCTGTTTGCTTCTACATTTAGAGGTCTGTTTTGAGCAGTGTTACCCCTGCATGTGAAATAATCTCAGTCTATAAGGAGCAACATTAGTGGACTTCACTGACTTCCAAAAGGACTGATTCATTATATATGAGGAAACTGGCAAAATCACAAAAAGGGCTGCACCGAGTTAGATCAACCATTTGATTTGGATAGTATAACCCTGGGTGTTTACTATGTTCTAAGAGGCACAGGCATAAATTTGAGTGCTCCGTCGTTTTCAGAATATCCACAGGGACTTGTGTTGCGACTGCCCAGCAAATGAGAGCCAGATTCCATTATCTGTATTGTTTTGATCCTGGCCTGCCCTCCTTCCCTGCTCCAGCTGAAGAGCTACTGCTAGGTTCTCACGGTTAATGAGATGAGTTTATGGCTCTCCTCCAAACGGCCTCTCCCCTGCTCATTGAATCCCTACCAAATCTCCACCAGGATAATATGCTAGACAGCGATGACAGCAGTAATTTGGATGTATGAAGATGTGATCATCTTTGGTATAACTTTTACTATTATCTCATTTAATCCTCAGATCCACTGTGAGACAAGTGCTATTAATCATCCTCTGAATTTCAAGGATCATCTCACAAGTTCAAAGTTGTACATTTGGTAACAATCAGGGCAAAACTCAGACCCGTATCACCTACCTTCAGGTCTTATGCTTAGCTAATTACACCACCCGCCCTTCACACTAAATTGCAAAATAAAAAACAAATCCCTGTATACACCCCATATTAAGGGTGCTGTGTATTTGGTCTGCTCAATCCAAGCACCAGAATTTTCACTCTAAGTGGCAGTGGGTACTGACTGGCTCAGATACCTATTTGTAATAAGGTCTACAGATTCCATTAATTCAGCATTGTAAAGCTATGATATGAACTAAGAAAATAATTATTCCCATATTTCAGAATGTACTAATTTCTTTCATTTTACTAGTAACATTTATGCAAATACATGCAAATAAATTTAAATACAATATGGAATCCACTCAGGTAGAGGTAGAACTGTAGTATGATTCTCATGTTAATTATCAAACCCTACTGTGCCTCCTTAGATGTTTTCTACACTATGATTACTTCCCATGTGTCATTAACAGTTCGTTGTCCTATAGGGGTCATGTGATTAAAATGATCATCTTGTGACCCCTCAAGGTTCTGTGTTTTTAACGGTTTCATCACTTTCTTTTTTTGAGAGAGAGATTTGTATTATAGGGCAAATGCACTTGCTGGAGAGAGAGACAGAAGGCAAGAAATCACCCTTCACGGGGCGAGGGGGTGGCCACGCCACAATCCCTTATCCTCCATTCTCCTCTTGGGATTTTGGGCATGCATGCACACATGCTGGCTTGAGTTTTAAGCTGCCGAGTCCAGGACTTGAACTACAGTCGACTATGTGGGAGTCCAACTAATCATTATGCCATCTGCTGGTCCCTGGCTTCATCTCTTAACTAATGATCTGCCATACAGAAAATAGATTTTAAGTAAATAGGTAATACACTATGTAAAGAAAAAACTTAGACTACAGTTGCTTAAATATACAACTGTAAAGGAAAGCTTAAAAATATTTTAGCACATATATTCATATTACTGAATTATGTATATGTAATATTACCAAGAGCTACATAATACATTTTTGATGGAATATGAAATATTTTATTAAAATGTTATTTATTCAAGCAAGATGAAAATGATAATAGCCCATAAATAATACAATGGTCATGCTTGATTATGTGTTCACATGGAAACAACTGCGTACCACTGCCCTAGAGAGATGTCTCTTGCTGCCTCACTAAGTATCAGGGACTGTCTTGCACAAATCGGGCCAAAGTGAGACCGCAAAGGCCTGACAGAGACACAGGAGGAAGAGGTAGGAGGGTATAGACACTGGGCCATGAAGAACATCCACCTAAGATGTTGGGGCTTCTGGCTGTCCTTCTGCCTTCCTTAGACTGCTCCCACTAGGTGTGTTTTCAAAAACATTGATGAGTTCAATAAGTCAAGTGTTTAACATCTACCCAGAAATATATTTTAGAGTATATTAGGGGTATATACTATTTTTTTTTCCAAAGGGCATATGCTCTTTCTCGCATTCTCTTACGAAAACGAGATTCCTTTGGAAATAGCGTTCGTCAGTTTTGTATGTTTGGGCCTTTACACTGCAAGTGTGTGCTTCCCTCCTTCAGAGCCAGTCCACTTGGTACACAGATTTTCTCCCACTATTTGTGCCAGCTTTAACTCCTCGGCTAGATTACCAGCTTCTTAAGGGAGTGAAAAATTAGGGGTCATGTAATTTATTTATTTGCAGAGTTTCTGGTCATGAGGAACAAAGTTATAGACAGAAAAGATTAAAGAAAAATAAACCCAAGTATTAACTAGAGGTATAGGGGTATGCTTACTGATTTCTTTCCTCTTTATTTTTTTTAAATTTATTTCCCATGTGGAGCATCCATTCTATCTAGAAAAATTTACTTTCATTTTAAAAGAAATCCTGTCAGGGGACTCCTGATTATAATAAGTTAAGTATTTGATTATTCTGGTTTGTAATTTGTTTGAACCTGAAGACTTAGCTTTTAAAAGCAGATCCTCACCTTGGACTTCTTACAATTTAATTCCTTTTAAAAAAATTAAAAATTTATTTATTTTTTATTTGACCAGAGAAGGACAGGGAGAGAGAGAGAGAGAGGGAGAGAGAGAGAGAAATTGAGAAAGCAAGCTGCCAGGTCCAGGACTTGAACTGCAGTCAGCCCTGTGGGAGTCCAGCACCCTTAACCATCATGCCACCTGCCAGTCCCTAATTCCCTTCTTATTGTATTTGTTCTGTCCTCCCTAGTTTGCAGACCATTCTCCTTGTTGAAGATAAATGCAGATTGCTTTGTAAGACCTAATAGATCTTTCCATTTAGGACCCAGCCCTTGTGTCCCCTCTTACCCCAGTTAGTTCAAGATCTTGATAAATTTCATCTAGATGGTCACAGGAAGGCCTTATTGATCTACCGATTGATTACACACCTCGTGTTAAGCTAAGCTCTCTCATGTTCAGAATTACTTCCCATTTCTGCAGGATCAAGCCCAAGCTTCTTACCCTGCTTTCAAGGTCTGTTATGATTTGATATTACCTTTCTCTCACCGTTCTCATTTGTGGGTGAACAAAATTTGCTATACTCTGGTCAAGTTACCTTCCTCTCTAATCTCTGGCCTGCTACGTTCTACTATCTCAGCATCATGACCCACTCACAAGGAATGTCTTTCCACCTAGTTTGGACCAAGTAAATGTTTCCTTGGCATCAGTCTCAAGGGTTCTCACTCTCTTTGGAGCTCCTGCAGTAAACTACCAGGTTTCTCTAAAGTAAGCTTGCGTTTGCTCTGGCATCACTGCTAGTGTCTGGCTGAACTGTTCCTTAAATCATACAAGGTTGTTCTTCTCCCCAACTAGATTATAAAGCAGTTTGAACCGTGGGTAACAGCACAGATTGCCGAGCCTTCTGCTCAGACTAGAATTATGCTTCTATCTCTTAGGAGCTCCTGGTAACCTGGACAAGTTTCTTCATGTTCATGGGCCTCAGTTTCCTCATTTATCAAAAGGAGATACTACGAGTACCTGTATTGTAAAGTAGGGCCCCGTACACGCTTAATACCAACTAAGCATTAGCTGCTATTAGAAGCTATTTTAGAGCAAAGATTACATTTCATATTTCTCTATACCTTCCACAACACTTAACAGAAAATATTTTACTAAAGGATGATAAAGATTTATGTATTTGTTGATTGTTTTGTTAATGCGACCACCTTTATATCACAAGCTGGCAAATCTTAAGGAATCTATTAATTTTTATGGTCTATCAACACTATGTTATATGCTGCACAAATATTTTACTAAATATTTATCATCTTTTCTTCACATGTGGTTTTTTGGAATGTTAAGTTATATGTTGTGTATGTGTACGTGTGTTTACACACAGGCCATTTAAAACAGTCAAATCGTGCTTTAAGGACATGCCTTCTACTTTCAGTAGCACCCTGACCCAGCATCCCCCTCAAAAGTAGCAATATACAGTATTTTTTAACTGTATCTTCAGGTATATACCTTAATACTTTTTTTCCTCGTGTCTTATTTCTTTCTTTCTGAAGTCTAAACATTCTCAAGTCTCTTTTTTAAAAATTATTTGTTTATATAGGAAAAGAAACAGGGACGTCTGATAGGGTCTTGCCAAGTCATGATGCCTACCCTCCCAACCTACCAATAAGCCAAGTCAAGATATCCCATGGGCATACCTGGCATGTCCAGATGGACCAGAATCTGAGCCCCAGGCCTTCCCAGATGGCTCCAGTATCATGCAATGGTGCTCTGTTTCCTACACCACCATGGGTGGGCCTCTTACTACTTACCAAATTTAGACATTAGTTAGCTGTTGGCTTCCTGTTATGGAAAATTAGAATTTAATTCTATTATAGTCACACCCTCCATACATACTTCTTGTCTCTCATGCTCTCAATATAGTCACATTATGATTTTAAATTAATAGTATTTATATTATTAGTACTATGTAAATACTGTGAACAAATTATTATATATAGTAGATTATTAAATTCCTTTTTTATACCAATTTTTAGAATATTTCCTTCAGGGCTAGTAGGTATGGTTAGGGAGCCTGGATCCCACCAGTGCAGTTTGGATCCCAGACCTAGTGGCTTAAAAAGCATGTCAGGCATGTGTATGTACTTGCCCAGAATCCTCAGAGGAGAGTGGAGAAGAAGGGATTGTGGCATGGTCATCCCCGCTAGGAGGTGATTTCTCACTTTTCCTACCTCTCTGTCTCTCTTCAGAATGTATATGTGCCCTATAGCAAAACTAAGATAAATCAATAAAAACAAAATATTTCTTTCAATCGATAATTGCCTCATTCTGTTGTTTGCTTGGCTTTCCTATGTGCTTTTTGCTAATTTTGTACGGAGCCACACAATCCCTTAAAACATGGACAAAGACGTTAGATAAATGCTGAGTTCCATTTTCTGGTCTTCTTCCTGCCATGCAAACATGTAGGCCTTCGTCATCATCCACCAGTCCTGACCTCTGCCATCTTGGTTCTTCTTCCATTATCCTGAGAGCTACCTTTGCCTCTTTTGTCGTTGTTGTACATAGTTGGACCCCTTGCATCTCGGGGCTTTGTTTTCCTTTTCTTGTGCTTTTTCTGATGTGTGCACTTGTTAGAGACAGGCAGAGGGAAAGTGAAAAAGCACCCCACCCCAGCCACAATCCATTCTCCTCTTGGGACTTTGGGCATGCACACATGCATATACCACATTTTCCAAACTGCCAGGTCCAGGACTCAGAACCACATCGTCAGTCATGTGGGATCCACTCATCTTAATCTCCATGCCACCTGCTGGTCCATTTATTCACAAACTTGATTGCAAGTTTTCTAGGACTTTTAAATTATTTATTTTATTATTATTATCATTAAAAAATTTTCCATAGAGTGTGTGTATTCACTAGAGAGAAAAGGGAAAGTGAGAAAGTAAGCCACCAGATCTGGGACTTAAACTGCAGTTAGCCATATGGGAGCCCGGGGCCCTAACCATCACACCACCTGTTGGCCCCAACAAGTTTTCTAGGTTTTATTTTTTTTTTAATTATTATTATTTTTTTTAAGAGAAAGATTTTTGCTGGGCACATGTGCTTGCCCAAGAGATAGAGAGATAGAAAGTGAGAAATCACCCCACAGGAGGACTGGCCCTGTTGCAATCCCTTCTCCACTCTCCTCTCAGGATTTTGGGCATGCGTACACATGCACCCGAAACTTTGCTGGGTCTGGGACTCAAACCGCAGTTGGCCAGGTGGAGTCCAGCAACATAATCTTTATGCCATCTGCTGGTCCCAAGTTTTGTAGGTTTTAAAATCTAGGTTGAACTTTTTCTTAAAATTTTGAAAACATTTCTCTACTGTCATCTATTTTCAGACATTACTCTCAGAATTTTGATGTCATTTTTATTCATATTTTGTTACATTTGATCCATTTTTCTTTTCTAGAAAGTTATAGTTTCTTTTTAACTTTGAACTCCAAATTTTGATCACCATGTGTCTTATACTGTCTTCTTCCATTCACTTCGCTGGATCATTCCATCTAGAAATGCATGTCCTTCAGTTTGGGGAAGTACTTTCATGGTATTCTTTTGATAACTCTTTTCTGTATTCTCTTTCTAGAACTCTTATTAATTAGGATGTCAGTCCTAGAACTCCTTTAGTTCTCTAAACTTTCTATTTTTTCTCTTCTATGTCTTATCACCTTATCATTTTGCTATACTTCCTTAAAGTTCTTCAAGTTATCATTCGGTCTTCCTATTAAATATTAAACTTTTATTATTGCTATGATATTTTTAGTTTCCATGAACCCTTATTCTCATAATACTCTCTTTTTTTACTAGCATTTTTTTCTCATTTCATAAGAGGAGAGAGAGAGAAAAAGAGAGAGGGAGTCTTTCATTTATTATTATTTTTAGAGAGATTTTTTGCTATGGGTGTGTGTGCTCACTGGAGAGACAGACAGAAAGCGAGAAATCACCTCCCAGGGAGAATGGCCATGCCACAATTCCTTCTCCTTCATTATCCTCTCAGGATTTTGGGCACACACACGTGCCTGGTGTGAATTTCAAACTGCTAGGCCCGTGACTGGAACCATGGTCATCCATGTGGGAGTCCAGTGATATAGCAATTATACCATCTGCTGATCCTGAGAGTCTTCTTTTATATGCAATAATTTAATTACTCAGGGTTTTGTCTTGTTTTGGTGGTAGAATGTTTTCTTCTCTTAGCAGTCTATTTATCTTCTGAGTTCCTTTTTTATCTGTATTTGTTTGCCAGTTTTGGTCTCTGTTTTTCATGTTGGACACCTCCTCAAGTTTTATGATCCATGCCTCTTCTTGAATATTTTGGATTTAGACTCCAGAAAGTTATCATAGTTGCAAATTCTGTGTGTGTTGTCCTGACTGGTTTCCTGGTTGGCATGAGTACAAGCTATCTTGGGTGGGATCCTCACAGTTTGGGAAGTAACACCATGTTATTACCTGAAAGTATTTTTTTTTAAGAACAGTTTGTTTTTCTAGGGGAAAAAAAAAAAGATGACTTGTAAAGTCTTGCTTGGGGTGGAACAGAGAGTTATAGACCTGGCTACCAACATTCTGGGATCTTAGTCTCACCAGAGGATCAGGGATCTCGCCACTTAATATTTGCCTGTCCTACCCTGGTTCTTTCACGCTCTGATATCCTGGAATTGGAAACTATTCTGTTTTGATTATTCCACCGAATGTCCTTGGCTAATCTTCCAGGATAAAGAAAGATGGTTCCCTAAATCCTCTGCCTATGTCAAAGATTTTTTGAGTCTATCTTTATGCAGACTTTCAATGGATCCTCTTATTTTCAATTCAATCCATCATCCTCACTCATCTTCAGAGGTTCTTGGTGCCTACAATTTCTCAGCCTTTCTGAGGCTCTGCTGTGTAAATAGGCTGCGCACAGTAGGGTGTTAGCTTTTTACTCTACACTGAATCAGTACCCATTCATCTTCTACTATTATCATTCCCTTGTGTTTACATGCCTTTAAAAAATTCCTTTGCTGTCAGTTTAGCACAATCATGGGAAAG